ATATATGCACGTAGATCTATTTCCCCATCATCATATATAAATATATTTACATATATTTGTGCCTGTATTTTGACCTCTATAAATGCCCATTGACTCCTATTTCTTTCCTCTATTTCCTATTACTTTTCTCTTGTCCCACTATCATGCTCAGCTTTCATTTGGGTTTCCATAATTTCTCTCAGTTACATTGCCCTTGATCAACTCCTGCCAGGCCTCTCACACCTGCCTTGCCACTAATTTTGGATTATTTGTTGTTCCCTTGTCCCTGGGTTGGTCAACACCACCTCCTTTCCCCCAGGAAAAAATTAAATTTGGACATACGGGAATTCTCCTGATGGGTTATCCTGAAGACTAGTTTGCTCTTCATTCAAAGAAAGAGAATCAACCCAATTAGGCAATCTCCTGCATTGTTGCTTCCTCAAGTCAAGTGTTTTGGGACAGTGTCTCATTTCTGATCCCTTTTACAAAGACTCAACTGTAGCAATCATAGCAATCTCAGCATATGTGTTCTAAGGTGTATTCTGTTCCCCTCTGCTCCATTTCAATTCCTCCTTCTCTAACATGCACATGCCCTCCTGCACACATACCAATCTCTGTGGCTAGCATATTGGGCCTCACAGGCAGTCAAGAACACCTTGATGATAGTGTCATCACTGCTGTTATGCTTGTCAACATTGTCATCATCAATATCATCACTTTTATCATCAGTACATTCATCATCATTATCCTTAGCATTAACATAGTCATCCTTTGTCGATTATAAAGTGCTTTCCCATGAACTGCTCACAACAAATTTCCACAGTGCTTAGAAACACTGTTATTATCCCTGTTTTCTTGCAAAGAGTAAAGACACTTTGGTTAAAAGACATTAGTTGGTGTGAGAGATGAAAAAAATAGCAATGTACAATCTATTACGAGGTTATGAGGGTTCGGGGAGAGCTGATAGCAAGGGCTCAATAGAAAGTAAATGTCTAGAAATGAATGAAGGCAACATATGTACAAACATGCCTGATTCAATTGATGTATGGATTGTGATAAGAGTTGTACGAGCCCCCAATAAAATGATTAAAATAAAAAATGCATGAGTGCAAGTTCTGACTCTGCTCATTTGAGTTCAGCACACACAGTTTAAACACCACTTTGCAACAGGAGTGTTCCCCAGTGGTGCAGCTTCTCTTAACTGCAGAGCGGCTGAAATCCACAGGGTTCATGAACTGCTTCCCTTTGCCTTCATTATGCTAACAGTGTTTGAGATAACCCAGTGGTTTTCAGCTTGTATCCCAGAACAGTCAAGGGTTCACAAAAGTAGAAATAGGACCTTCAAACTATTTCCAATATTTTAACATTTTAACCAATAGTCAGAAAGGCATACATAGTGCTCAGGCTAATTACTTGACACATGAAAACACATTTTCTGAAGCACCCATTTTCAGGTAGACTATTTGAACAAAACAAAGATGGGGAGAATTGCACCTATTCCATGGTGATATAGTTAAAGTTTATTGTGCCAACCTGGCCGATAAACACATGTGGGGTTAACTGAAGTGCAGAGAGATAAATGGCTTGGTGAGCCTGGCCTTTCTAGTTCTCAGGTCTCTTGCTTTCTGATGGTTGGACCAGGATGTAGCTGCCTTAGCCAGTTCCCTGCTTCCGCTGGCAAGGCTCACTGTGTTCAAGACATCCCTGAGGAGAAGCAGCATGCACCTACCCCGATGCATCCCTGGCTGCTGGAGCAGCCGTGGGGAGACCCCTGCCAGTGCTGAGATGCTTACACATTCACTGACTCGGATTTTCTCCTGCAGTCGGTGTCATTGTGTGTGTTTTGTGAGATGGAGGAGGACTTTGTGGATTGGTGTCAGACATATGGGTTAATGGTGGACTTGTGGGCTTGGGTAGCACTGGATTGGGATGTTTTCTTGATGCACACTTACTCTTGATATAAAACTCTCTCTTATACATATGTTTCTGTGGATTTGTTTCTCTAAAGTACCCAGACTAACTCACATGGCATATACATTCAGAGCTTCCTATAGCATGTCTGCCTCATCTATTGCCACTTGTCTAACCAGCCCATACAGTCCATAGTGCTAAAAGTTCCCACAGCAGCATTTCTCAAACTGCCAAGATTATGATATTATAATTCAGCTTGCTATTCACATTCTTCCAAGTATGCTTTCAATTCCAACACAAATGGGTTTGCAGCTCAGAATACTAGCTCCCTAGTGTCTGCCAGGGAATTCTGTTTGTGGAATCATCCATTCTACATATTCTCCTTGAGTGAGAAATGCTTCATTGCAGGAATGGATAGAATGATTGATGGGAGATGTGGGAGCTTATACTTTGTCTATCTTCAAATATCAGGGACAAGGCAAGTACAGTGGCTCCTCTGGATAAAGGCCCCTATCTTACTCTAAACCAGTGGTTCTCAACTTTCCTAATGCCACAGTCCTTTAATACAGTTCCTCATGTTGTGGTGACCCCCAACCATAAAATTATTTTCATTGCTTCTTCATAAGTGTAATTTTGCTACTGTTATAAATCATCATGTAGATATCTGACATGCAGGATGTATGTTCATTGTTACAAATTAAACATAATTAAAGCACAAAACAATAAGTATCTCTATATTGTGAAATATTTACTTCTAATTACAAATAAATGACATTTTATCTTGAAGCATGGTGTAGCCTGGGTAACAGTCTTCACGCAGACATACTCATATGTGGGCAGACCCACCTGGAGACCGATAGAGCAGCAGTGTCTGGGTTCCCAAGACCAACAGAAATATGTGTTTTCCGATGGTCCTAGATGACCCCTGTGAAAAGGTCGTTCGACCCCCAAAGCGGTCGCAACCCACAGGTTGAGAACCGCTGCTCGAAACCCCTTGTGATCGCCACCATCTGATTGACATTGAGTCCTGCCATGGATAATTACAACAGAGTGGAGCTGTGCAATGCTGTGTTATCCGCATGATCATCCGTATGTCTGAGGACCTCGTTTTGATTATCGTGTCAGTCCATCTCTCTGAGAGCTTCTCTCCTTTTTTGCTGCAGTCCTAGTGGGCTACACTACTAAAGGGAGGCCCCGGCCACGTGGAAGCAACTCTCTGCCGGTCCCACAAGGGCCCGGCAATTAGTCACAGGTGGAAAGAGTGACGTAACAGTCATTCACTCACTGGTCAGTGGCATAAACACCTAACATCCACAATTAATGAAGCTCCTTGTTGTCTTTACGTCAGTAGTTAAAATCACTCGCGATAAACAAACACCAGGGATAAGGATTAAGAATTGCCAAGAGGATGGCATCACCTTGGCAGCATCTGGGTACTTGGAAAAAATCAATGCAACGACAATGGCGGCAAAACTGGCTCCCAAGGGGCTCCAGGTGAACGGTTTCCAGGAGCAGACTCAGAGGCCGCATACTGCTCACCTGGATATTTGCTTCCTCACCTGTGACTCTAACACTGACTGCAAATGGTCTGAAAACTACCTGGACGGGGGCTGGGGGGGGGGCTGTGTGTGCCCCTAAACCCATGGTGGCATCAAGCCTGTTCAAACACGTTTGGCAGAACCAATATCTAAATTTTTGTTGAGTCCAGTGAACCGGTCCGGTGGTCAGCTGGGCAGCTGCCCAACATAGAAGTGGCAAATTTCCATTCTTTCCTAAGCACCAGTTCAAAGGTATAAAAAATTAGATGGAACTATGTTTGTAATATTTATTTATTCATTTCACACACCTGCACTTGTTATGCTTTTGCTGAAATGCATTTTTCTTCCTTTGAGTTTGTTATCTTAGTAAACAAACATGGAACGCACAGAGAAAAGTGCAGAACAACTAGAGAGTGACATGCTGTCATTCATTTCAGCTTTATGAACCCCCCCAACCCCCATGAGATATTATCAGTGAATTATGCAATTCCTGAAAGTATTCAAAGAGCTAAAAATATAGTCAGAACAATTGCTTTAAGTTGATCAGAAGGTGAAAGGCGCTTTTCAAAGATGAACACATGTATTCAGAGAAGAGCCATCGACTATTTTCAAGGTATCAATTGGCTATTGTCTAACTGGCCTACATCAAAAGTAGTGGGATCCTATCCCTACAGTGAAAAGATGGATAAGAGTAAATCATACAGCCAATGATGCTTGGATAAAAGTGAAGAATATTGCAAGTGAGAATGTAATCAAGAAGCAATATAGAAATACTTTAAATTGAAATTTTATTTTTTGCCAGATATTATCTAATATTTTTATTATTTTAAAAGTATTTCTTAATTATTGTATGAAATAAGAGACTACCATTCAGTATATATATTATATTATATTATATTATATTATATTATATTATATTATATTATATTATATTATATTATATTATATTATATTATATTTAAAGCAGTCATTAGGGAAGTGAACTGGATGTTAAATTATTTGTAGCCCATCACTGCCCTAGACACTTGTGCAGTATGAAAACATTACTAGCCCCTTGCTGTGAAATGTCATAGACTTTTAATATTAAAAGGAATCAGTTGTTTAACTAAATCAGAGTTCCCAAACTAGGCGATACTACCCCCTGGGGTGCTGGAAAAGTGGATGCTTACCCTTTAGCCTGCACTATGAGCCTATAACACAAACATTTGCAATTGCCAGGGTGTGCTGAGTAAATTTTTTTCTGAAAATGGAGTGGTAGACCAAACAAGCATGGCAATCTATGGGCTAAGTAATAAATGATTATCGAGGGGCCCAGTGGATTCTTGTGTGGCTATCTTATATGAAGTCAGAAAACAAAACATAATCTCAATTATGTAGTGGACAATTTTGCTCCCTGACTATAAAAATATTGGAAAATTTTTAACTTTCATAAAACACTGAATAAACTCTGATAAGGGAAATAAAATCAATAACTCCAATTGTTCTTACTTCCAGATTTAATTGCATATTGATATTTTCTACGTGGTACATTAGATTGTAGAGCATTGTGTTTAAAGTTTTGTTTTGTTTTTACAGGGGAGTACGCGAATGCAGTCCCCTACTCCCACAAAGGATGCAGTCGAGTTTCCCATTTTGGGGGAAATCTCAGGCATCAACACATCCCAGCGCAATGGAAAAGGCTCGCCCTGGGAAAACCACCTTCATGATCATGGTATCTCCCCTGCCAGGTAAGTATGTGTTTAAAGTTTTATATTGATGTAAACTTTAAATAAGGAGAAATGTATACGCATAAAGTTTGAAGATTTTGACAAATTGTATACATCTCATAACTGTTGTGGGGTGCCTCACAGATGGGGTTCCTTCCCTTGCCTGGTTAAGAATATGAAGCAGGGAGCCAAGCTTGCCATGAAAGCAAAATGATTTATTAGAGAAGTAAGGGGGGAAAGCCGCGGGGAGGGGGATGGAGCTAAACTAAGGGAGGCTACTCTCTTGCCCAATAAGACAAGAGAAAAGGTTTTTAAGAGCGTTTAGGCAGAAAGGACTTTATATTTATTGATGGACAGAGGTGGAGAATTCTAGGAATTGGGCTTACATGTGTGGAGTAATGGTAATTGGGTGAACACACAATAATTGTTTTTAAAAGAATGGTGTGTAGGTAAAGGCTTCTGGGTAGGGTGGCCTTACTTACTACAGGAAAGTGCACATATGCACCTGGCAGAGGACTCAGACCTGAGGAATTAGGTCCTGCTTCTATGACTAGTTTAAGCTGGTCAAATGGGTGAATTCTGCAATGCAAGGACATGGAACTGAAACACATCATTCTTATATTCGAAAAAAACGCCTCATTCTTGCAGGGGAGAAGGAAATTGAAAATGGTAGAGGCTACTGAAATATGCAATATATTAAACCTTAACTGGGTGTGGGGTGTGATTGAGACCATGCATATTGGGTTGGGGAAATCCATCCAAGTCATTGTGTCTTTTCTTAAACTTCATGAAAATGGAATTATATAGTGTATTAGTCTGGGTACTTTGGAGAAACAAATCCACAGCAACTCATGTATAAGAGAGAGTTTTATGTAAAGAAAATGTGCATCACGAAAACATCCCAACCCAATGTTGCCCAAGCCCACAAGTCCAACATTAACCCATTAACCCATTAACCCAACGCCAGTCCACAAAGTCCTCCACCTCACAAAACAGAGGCGATGATGCCAACTGCAGGAGGAAAGCTGAGTCAGTGAACGAACAAGCATGTCAGCACTAGCAGGGGTCTCCACACAGCTGCTCCAGCACCCAGGGCTGCATCGGGAGAGGTCCATGCAGCTTCTCCTTGGGGATGTCTTGTAGGAAGTCAATCTTGCAAGCTGAAGCAGGGAACTGCTAAGGCAGCTGCACCCTGGTGCAACCATCACAAAACAAGAGACCCAAGAACTAGAAAGGCGAGGCTCACCACCCATTTATCCCTCTGCCTTTCAATTAGCCCCACATGTGGTTATCAGCCAGGCTGGCACAATTAACTAACTCATATAGTAACAGCTTTTAGTATCTCATTTCTCTCATTCAGCATGTTTTTTTGAGATTCACTTATGTATACAGAAGTCGTTTATTATTTTTATTGCTATATCATACTTCATTATGTAGCACAATTTGTTTATCCACTTTCTTACTGAAGTTTCAAGTTGATTTCAGTGCTTGATATTATGATTATCATGAGTAAACAGCTTATGAAAATTTATATATATGCACTTATACATACATTTCAACTTTTCTTGAAATTTTAAATTCTTTATGTAATTTGCAGAATAATCAAACAAAAATTGCAAAAAAAAAAAGCCAAAGAGTTTCCCAGAGTGGTTCCATCATTTTATGCAACCATTTGCAGTCATTATTAGAGTTTCTGGTGTTTAACATGAAACTCAAAAACCCATTGCTGTCAAATCCATTTTGATGCCTACCAATCCCATAGGATAGAGGAGAACTGCCCCACAGCGTTTCTGACTCCTCACAAGATAGATCGTCGCAGTGGCTGCAACAATGGACTTAAACATAGCAGCGCTCTGACAGTGTTTTGTTCTGCTGTGCACAGGGTCCCTGGGAGTGAAACCCACTCCTTGGCATTTAACAACAACAATCTTGACAGAAGCAGCCTGCTGCCTTTCTCCGATGGAGCAGCTGGTGCATTAGAATCACCTAAGCTTTGGTTAACAGCCAGAGCATCAACGCTTCATTACCAGGGTTCCTTGCTGTTTAAACGCTCTCTAACATTTGTCATTTTTATAATGGATGGAAAGTGGATTCCTAGTGGCATAGTAGGTTAAGTGTTGGGCATCAGATCAACAAACGCGTTCAACCTACTAGCCATTTCTCAGGAGAAAAAGTAGGCGCCAGTATGGATTTTCTGTCGCAGTAACTCTGTGGAAGAGTTCTAGTCTATTCCATACAGTCATGAGGAGACAGAATCCAGGGCAGTGTGTTTGGTTCAGTTTGGTTTCAGATATGAAGTCATACCTTATTGTTCGTGCTTGTACTTGCTAATTGCTAATGATATCAAGCATGTTTGCATATGCTTACTAAAAATTACATATCTTCCTTGTATGAAGATTCCTCAAAATTTTTGCCTGTTTTTGTTTTTTAAATTCTTTGCCTTTATAATCATTGAATTTGTAGGAATTCTTTATATACCTTTGATACATCATAATTCAGACATTATAAATATTTAATAAGGGTAGTGTTTTCGATAAGTAAAAGATTATAATTGTTAAGGCTCTTCAATTTATTAACTATTTGTCTTTTTTTTTTTTTTTTTAAGAAAAGGAACCTGGTGGCTTAGGGCTTATGTGTTGGGCTTCCAACTGCAAGGTCCGCAGTTCGAGAACACCAGCCAGCTTCTCGGGAGAGCATTCTATGCCTGTAGAGAGCTACAGTTTCAGAAACTTACAAAGACTGTTCTAACCTGTCCTGCAGGGTCACTAGGAGTCAGAATTGACTCGATGGCAGTGAGTTTGGATTTTTTTCCTAAGAAATCTTTACCTAGTTCAGTTTTAAAAGACACTCTGCTGTATTTTCTTTTAGAAGTGCTTACAGTGAACAACTGACACCAAATCTCAAGTACAAAACACAGTGCCTTCTAAAACCTGGGATGGTAAAGGTAGTATCAATACACCAAGAACACTAGCGATTCAGTAGCTTTGTTGTTCTGCACACCAGAGCATCATCATGCGCAGCATGGCCAGTGCCTGGAGGTTCAAGGCCCTCATTTTGGTGTTATTTTTGGAGATGACTTGGATTTCTGTAGTTTTGGCTTTCTTGATGATCAGTCATGCTTTGCAGAAAAGGCTGCCAAGCTAAACTTTTCCCTGGGTGAGAAAACACATGTTTACCCACGTGCAAACCTGAGCTTCAGTGTCTTGCTGCAATTGCATCAGTGAAACCTCTTTTTCAAATATTACTCTTTGCCTTCATGGAAAAATAGCATCTTTAGCAAAAAGGACAAGTGGGCAAAGGTTTTCCTCACACCAACATAGGGGTAGCATTTAAAAATGGAAGTGGCTTGTGTAACCTACTTCTCTTTGGTTTTAAAATAACATAGCTCATAGAATTTGCATTTATTTTTAATTCCTGGCCTTGTGACCCCAGCTCCTGTTTTACTTGATAAATTCCATCTTGCCTGCCACAAGCGGCCATTCAATTTTGATCTCTTTCTAATATGTTTCATCAACCCAGGTTTGAGGTAGGTTACCAGTTTCTAGGCTGGGAATTGGGTATTGCAAGGAAGAAATGGCCTGTCAGTAATTCTTTACCACTCGAATTTCTTATTTTGAGTTGTTATTATAGCTGTGAAATATGAATTACATAGTCCTACTCTGACACGCATGGGGTTGCTTTGAGTCAGAATAACTGACCATTTTTTTCTTGTTGTTTTGGTAATGTTAATTATTACCTACAATTAGGTAGTATGAAGATGTAACACTTAACAGAGTCCCTGATTATTCTCATAAAAGTGGTTGGTTGGTTTTTTCAGTTTCCCCACCATGGTTCCACAATTGGGAGCCCTGGTCAAGCAGTGGCTATGCTTCCAGCAGCAATCTGCGTGGTCAGTAGTTCGAAAGCCCGAGCAGCTCTGCAGGAGAAAGCCCGGCTCTCCACTCCAGGAAACAGTTATACTCTGAACCCACAGGGGTCGCCATGAGTCAGCATGGGCTTCAGGGCAGTGAGTTCATTTGTGTGTTTATGATTCCATAACCAACTCTTTGAGTTAACAAAAAGTAAACGTTGAGCACTCCTAACTGCCCACATAGACATATATTCATCTACATTCTATTATGCTAGAACACTAATAGAGAGAAAGATCACTTCAGAAATAACGTGAGGAATATCTGCATGGAAAATAAGTTCTTAGTCAGAAATAAAGAGGTTTAAATTAGCAAATTGGCCAGAAACCAAGAAGAGGTTTTGTTACAGCATTTGTGTTAACAAAATAAAGAACATCGCCTTAGAAATATTTTATACACCCTGACAAAATGCTGGTAGAAAAATCAATATATACCGTACTATATATATTACATACACTACAATTAACCAAATGTTTTATTATGTTTTCCTCATATAAGGGTTTAGTAATGTTATTTTTGTCTTCATCGCAAAAGTATGGGAACTTTTTGTAACATTATAAAAAATGCAGAAATTTATACAGAAGAAGGAAAAAAGATGTGGATCTTTCCCCGAGCAGTCCCATCCTTGGGGAATCCATATATACAAACACAAAAACCTGTCCACACCTCATTTATCATATCTGCTACCTTTTTTACTGTCTTTGGGAAAATGTTGTTGTGCTGTTTTTTTAACTACTCTATATCTTACCCTGAGTTTTTCTCATTTATAGAGATATTTAAGGCAATTTTTTTCTGGTTAGTACATACATTTGAATGCTTATGTTAAATACATTCATGTTTTAAAATAGATTTAAATAGATTCTTTTGTTAAATTGTTTGATACAAGTACATTGTTTATATAGGAAGTCCCTGGTCTATGAAGCTCTCATTTATAGATAACTTCTCTGGGCCCTTAATACTGGACTTCAGACTATCTGTTATGCTCAACAGAGTGAAACAGGAACAGACTGGAATTTTTATAATGTGGTCGACTTATTTTGATAATCAGATTAAGAAAAATGATGGGCTGATTGCTGAACCTATAGAGACAGCAAGTTGAATAAGGGCTCCTAGGGGTTGCA